CACTTAACAGTGTTACAAACCCATTAGATTTCTTCCAGGTTTAGAGGATAATTTGTCTTTAATTTTTCTGGGTTTATTCAAGTTTTACCCTTGGTTCCAGACCCCTAACCAGTTTCTCCCAGACCCAGGGGAGTGCACATTCACATACATTGCCGCAGGAAGCATAAATGGGCAAAATCGATTTATTTTGTCCTAAAATGTACCCGGAAGAAAAACGAAGCAGTAATAAGCAAGGGATATTTGAAAAAGAATAAGGAACTTTCTTATCTAGATATTGATACATACATTCATTAAACTGCTTTAGAACAAGATCCTTGCGTACATGAGAATCTGGTGTATGATAAAGTTGGTGTTTATGATTAACGATAAAGGATGAAGTATTAAAAATGTGTTGACAAAATACATTATGCATAAAGATACACTTCATGTACCTAAGAATTCCAGTGTGCCTAAAAATAACCAGAGAAGAAAATAAAATAGATTGAAAAAAATCTTAACTGAGAAAAGATGACCTAGATAAAAGCAAAACCTTAGAACTTACACCGGAAAACCACAGACGTTTGACAAACATTTCCAACTTTTTATTGGGTAAAACCGCATGAATGACATCAAAAGATAAACCACACACAGGGGGGCAAATTCGTAACACTCCATAGCAAAGGTTAGAATGGGCTGCGTCTTCCTCTCTGAAAGATTCTCTTTGGCTCCTGAGTTTTGACAGCAAATCAGGAACGTCGTCATCTGAATCAGTTTGATTTTGGATACAGCAGTGAGGGTACATATAGGAAGGGATTTCTCAAGACTTTATCAAATCTACGTAATTCCAGAGTTTAGGTAGCAGAAATTCAGACCACAAAGGATACAGTGTACGAAAGCTCCATTAAAAAAATAACCCCCATGGACAAGTGAGAAATCACAGTAGAAATCAGTGGCTAACAAACATGAATGAACATTCTCACTAGAAAACAAAAAAATATTGATGAAAACAGTAAGCTACCATTCTTTTCTTAACCCATCAGATTGGCAAATATAAAAACTATTGCTAAATATTGCCGGTGTTGGTAAGGATGTGAGGAAGCTACTGCAGAAGTGTGAATCAATGACAGTTAATTAACCATTCTACCTCTTGGAAATCTATTCTATAGAAATACTTGAACATATGCAGAGACATACTCCAGGATATTCACTGCAGCTGTCTAGAATACTGAAAACCTAGAAACAACATAAATATCAGTTACGGTAAATCCGTAGTATAAACTATCATACAGCTCCTAAGAGTGAGGTAACTCAGTACAAAGAGACATAAAAAGACACATAAAGTAAAACACCAAGTCACGATATGTTATCTGTAGCATGGTCACATTATTTGCAAAATAAATAAATACGCCCTTCGTGCATGTTTACATGCTAAATATGGAAAAAATACAACAAAACTGCCATCAACTACAGCAAAAGAAAGTTTGAAGGATACAGTTCAATCTCTGTTCACAGTTTGGGAAAGGGGCGCAGCTACAGCAGGGGCGGGGGTGCAGTATAAAGGGATACTTTCATTTTTACCTAAACATTTGAAGACAGTTATTGAGGTGTCATTGACAATGTTACATGAGTTTCAGCTGTGTAACACAGCGATTTGATATTTACACACACTGTGACATGGTCCCCCTAGTAAGTCTGGTTCCCCTCTTTCACCTTACAATGTTATTGACGTACAATACATCCCAGTGAGCTATTTATTTTATAACTTGAAGTATGCACTCCTTACTCCTCTTCACCCATTTTGCCCTCCCTTTCCCAAAGACCCTCCCCTCTGGCAACCACCACCCTGTTCTCCATAAGTCTGGGTTTTTGTTCTGTTTTGTAGATTTCACACATAAGTGAAAGCTGGCAGTATTTGTCTCTCTCCGTCTGCGTCTGCGTTATTTCCCTTCTAATACACTCAAGGTTCATCCGTGCTGCAAATATTAAGACTTCATTCTTTTTTATGGCTGAGTAATATTTACATGCTATACTACTCATATGGCTGAGTTCTCAATCAGTCAATCAAACCACATTTGCTTTAGCTGTTCATTCACAGATGGACAATTAGGTTGCTTCCATCATCTTGGTTACCATAAATAAATCTGCAATGAACACAGGAATGCACGGTATCTTTTTGGATTAGTGTTTTCATTTTCTTTGGATAGATACCCAGAGTACTGGAATTGCTGGCTTATAAAGTTGCTCATGTTTTAATTTATTGAGGAGTCTACATACTATTTCCCATGGTGGCGGCACTAATTTACAATCCTACCGATAATGCAGGAGGGCTCCCTTTTCTCCATATTCTGTTATTTCTTGTCAGAAGAAATACCTTGTCAGGTAACAGCCATTCTGACAGGTGTAAGGTGAGATTTCATTGTAGTTTTGATTTGTGTTTCCGTGATGATTGGTGATGTTGAACATCTTTTCATGTACCTGTACGTCTTTGGAGAAACATCTATTCAAATCATCTCCCCATTTTTTTATCAGACTGTTTTTTGCTACTGGGTTGTGTCAGTTCTTTACATGTATTTCGCCCACTCAGCGGGTTGCCTTTTCATGTTGCTGATCATTTCCTTTACTGCACAGAAGCTTTTTAGTTTGATGTAGTTCCATTTGTTTATTTTTGCTTTTGTTGCCCTTGCCTTTGGAGTCAGATCCAAAAAAAACATTGCTAAGACCAGTATCAAAGAGCTTATCACTGCCTATGTCTTCTAGGAGCTTCATAATTTTAGGTTTTACATTCAAGCCTTTAATCCATTTTGAACTGATTTTGTATACGGTGTAAAACAGTGCACAGCTTCATCCTTCTGCACGGAGCTGTCTGGTTTTCCCAGCACCATTTATTAAAGACACTGCCCTTTCCCTATACTCTATTCTTGCCTCCTTTGTGGTAAATCAACTGACCAAAAAATGCACGGGTTTATTTCCATGCTCTCTACTCCTTTCTACTGATGTATCTGTCTGTTTTTATGCCAATATCATACTGTTTTGATTACTAGAGCTTTGTAGTATTTGAAATCAGGGAGTGTGATAGCCCCAGCTTTGTTCTTCTTTGTCAAAATTGGTTACTCAGGTCTAAAATCTGTTTAGAATTATTTCTAGTTCTGTGGACAATGCCACTGGAATTTTAACAGGGACTGCACTGAATCTGTAGATTGCTTTGGATAGCATGGACATCTTAACACTATTAATTTTTTCAGTCCTTGAGGACGAAATATCTTTGCTTTTTACTTGTCTCCAATTTTTTTCATGAATGTATTATAGTTTTCAGTATATAGGTCTTTCACCTCTTTGACTAAATTTATTCCTAGGTATTTTACTCTTTTTGATTCAACTGTAAATGGGACGTTTTCTTGATTTTTTCTTCTGACAAGTCTGTTACCAGTATACAGAAACACAACTGATTTTTACATATTAATTTTGTATCCCGCAACCTGAGTTTTTTATTAGTCCTAGCAATTTCTATATATGGTATCACGTCATCCGTAATAGTGGCCGTTTTACTTCTTTCTTTCCAATTTGTATGCCTTTTATTTATTTTTCTTGCCTAATTCCAGTTATATGCTGAATAAAAGTGGGGAGAGTGGGCATCCTTGTTTTCTTCCTGATTTTGGAGAAAAAGGAGGAGGTTGTTGAACAATGTTTACCGGGTCTCAAAGTATCGTACCCCACATTTCTCTAAATTATAAGAAAAAGAAAGACACCTTTGACAATATGAAAAAAAATATGGTGAATATCTTATGTGGGTGATTGAACAGAAT